AGTATGTCGAACGATTCCAGAACATTCCAAACACTCCGAAGCGCGTTTGGTGTTTGGACGAACTGATTTCAATAGGAGTTGGTCCTGTTAAGTGATACAGGACAAGCTCTAACGGACTGTGGGCCCAAACACGTAGCGAACAATGACAACACCGTCAAAACATCATTTAAAGGAGATTGACAGAGTCCCTTAGTTTGTCAACAATAACCAGAGATACTGATGCGTGGTAATGAGATTCACAGGTGTTCTCTTAAGCAGCATCTGCACAAAGGAAAAGAAATTTTATTGATTGCTCGGATATCGATCGCGAGTGCGACCAACACAACATTTAACTTGATGTGTCAACAGCAGACTAGTGATACAAACTACTAGATGAATGATTTCAATCTAGAGCGGTTATTTCGGCCACCTTTACTCGCTACAGACCTAAAACTTTTAAAACATTTACGTTTACATTACAAGACGGCGTAGGAATACACGCGTAACACCTGAAATGCATTAATGTAGGGCCAATCATAAAAACAATATGGCATTACTAGTGCTACGAGAAGTGAATGCACTAAGGCACCATAAACACAAGTACTGCTATACCTCGACAGGAGTTGACGGAGTAGGCGTTTCTGTCGTTCGGGATGTTTCAGGTTCGCAAAAAAGATTTCTGCGGGTGGCTGGAAATACGGTCCTAAGCTTTGATCTTCCGTGAAGAGGCGTTTGTGCTCTGTGACGTCTACGATGCGTTCCGCCAAATCGGACTTGTTCAATATTAGAATATGAGGACGAATCTAAATTAGACAAACAAGTACAAGTGACCACCAGGTAATAAAAAAAAATTGATGTGAGTGCACGGCTGTGACACGCTTCATAATTTAAGCGAAACTCTTAAGAAAGAATGAAGATGGCGAGATTCAGCTAAATATTAAGACTAATTGACATGTCGCCTTACTACAAAGTCCAATTACAGAAATGTTCCCGATAGCTAAAAATGATAACACAGTGGAATACACAAATATAAAGATAAAACGAAATTGCTACTTCCTGTGGGCCACCATTTTGAAAAAAACGCTGAAATTACGGGCGCGTGAGAGTAGGTAGAAAAAAAAAGTTTAATTTTTTTTGGAGATCAAACAGCGGAACCAGGCCCAAGTAAATCAATATGACGCAATGAGAACCTGAAGAGAACTTTCAAAACAATGACATGCATAAACGAAATAAAGGCGTAATTTTACCTGACTAACGTCTCTTACAAACTGGCAGCGCCCAGTCAGCGGTAGGCGGGCATCATGGATCTCGATAATTACATCAACATCCGCCAAACGAGCCTGGATTTCCTTGAGGCCTTTTTGCATGTGGCCTGGATACCAATTAATTGCATTAGGCGGAATATGGCGCACATAATCCGAGGCCAACGTCTGTGTAAAAGACAAATTACGATGACATATCACAGGAATTGAGCCCCGTCCAAGGCACACACATGACGAAACACTAAGCCGACGAAACATCCCACTACCTCTCAATTATAACACGCGGCATTTTTGATTATCCAATAAAATATTAGCTAGCAAATTCTAAGTTCATTTAAAAATGTAACCAAAATTTTTTGTGGATCTCAGAAATGTTGCATAGTTGCTCATAACAGCAAAATAATGGAACTAACAAAAAAGACAATGAATTTTCAGAGTTAAAGATGATTGCAAGATCCTAGGTATAGGTGTTAACTAATCTTTTCCTGGCTGGTTAGTCAACACTATTTACGAGGATGAAAGTTTGGCTTGCACACTGATATAGGATTAATTCTTATTTAAATTGTTACCTGAAATCCTGACATAATCGGAAAATGTTTTTGAAGTGTGTACAAAATGGCCATTTTGAAGCGAGTATTGATAGGAATTAGAGAAAAATAAAAACGGAGTTTTAATTTGCAAATGCATTCGAAATATTCCTGGGATCTCGAAAAACATGCGTGATGGAGAAAATCGACCCCAATGTTACCTGAACTTAAGTATTTTAAGACAACATTATGTGATATTTACTAATTCCTTGGAAATAAAATTTGCGACAAATTTACATACGAATTAGTTAACTACATAGCTAAATACACAGACGTTTCTAAGTAAAAAATTAATATGTTGTTTCGATTTATTATTTTTCTATTGACAATGTTGTCCAGTACATCTGGAAATGATTATCAATTGATTTCTATGATATTTTAATTACCTAAAATAAATTTAATTGATTAAATTCAACTTACTTTTGTTCCCTACCCTAACACTTTTTTTTTAAAAAATGTAAGCATTATTTAATTTTTAAAAAAAATGAATATGTAGCCGTTGATTTAATTTCCAAATGGTTAATATCCTCAATCAATAGCATATTTAGTGTTAGCTGAGACTGAAATTAGAGGCTTTATTCCACTAATCCTTAAATGATTTTCAATTCTTCATTGACCTCCGTAATCTTGCATGTATCCCATGTTACTGATATCAGTAAATATTTGGCCATACCGTGCAGCACCTCTGGTCTTTAGCGAAAGTTGGTGATTTCATAACAAAGCAACCAATGAAGAACTTCGAATGGAAAGTCGTTGGCCTTAGCGTCTATTCATATGCTTTATCTTTATGTCCTGACGCCCAAAAAGCAAACATTTTCCTATTAGTCTCTAGCCTTTGTTCCAACCTTTGCTTCGAGCCAACTGCCCCTTATGTGGATACGCGCGAAACTGTTTTACTAACTGAGAAACATGGAAGGCTGGATCAAGATTTTAGGACATATGTTAATTCCCGTTAACTTAGGTGTGTCTAAATTAAATCGATTCCTAAGTACTTTAGCATATTGGTATATGCAATATATGTTTTACATCTAAAGAGTCTTAGGTTTAGAGTATGTTTTCTTGATCGAAGGCAAAAATTAGTGGCTTTTGACCGGTATTCACCTTACTAATCTAGATACCTTGGCTATATTTCACAGTTCCCAACCATGATTCGTCACGCTGATGGGACCGATAACGTCTCAGCTTATATCCATTACTTTACCATTCCCGATATCAACCTTGAACAGTTAGCTAAAGTCCAGATAAATTTCAATAGCTTCGTCAAAATTATGGTCTAAAGCTTGAACTCTTTTTTCCTGCCCCATTTAAAAAGCAAGTATTTTAATATCTTCATTCGCTTTCACACCCTGATGTTTGCGTTACCGAGCTCGTGATAACTGACTGTTTTGCGTGGTCTATCGTTCGTAAAGATGTTCGCTTATGGGCCAAACTCTGTATTCCATGTCAACGCAGCAAAGTCCACCGTCATTACATTTCACAACCTGGACATTTTCCCCTTCCGGATGCCCGTTTCCTTCATGTGCACATAGACTTAGTTGGACCCCATCCACCGTCTCGTAATTTTACCTATGTTCCAACTTGTGTTGACCGCTTTACTCTTTGGCCTTTGGCAGTACCTATTAAAGATGGTCTAGCCGAAACTTTTGCCCGCGCATTTATGGAATCATGGGTTTCCTTATTCGGTGTTCCGGTTCAATTACATCTTATCGTGGTGCGCAATTTGCGTCTTGTTCGCTTCAAGATCCAAACTGCCTTCTTGCATGCAAACATTTTTGAACTACAGCATATCATCCAGCATCTAATGGCTTGATTGAGCGTTTCCACAGTCGATTGAAATCAGCCATTATTGAGAGAGCTGCCTCGAACAACTGGTCCAACTCACTGCCATTGATTTTATTCTATATTCAGAATACGGTAAAGGAAGATATTGACTAAACGCCAGGAGAACATGTGTTTGGTGTGGTGAAGTGGTCACAAACTCTGATCACGCTACTGAGTTCCCATCTTCATCCTATATCGAACAATGAAAGTTTTTCATAAAGGAAATTCGACTAAATCCCACAAGAATGTCCTCACGACAAACACGGATTCAACCAAGCTCGTTGACTCATCTCCATTTCATTGATTACTGTTATCAGACGCCTACCATCCGCTCACTCATCGACACACTAAGACAAACACCAGTTCGGTTTAACTCAAATAAACTGTCACGTCCACTGTCTCCTCTCTTATCTTTGTCTTCTCGTGTTGTTGTGATCTGTTAACTAGAGTGTTGTAAGGTACTGCTAACGACGTCACTACTACAAATACGAGAGCCTTAACGAAATCAACGAAATTAAGTACACTTTATGCTAGAACAATTTAAATTGCATGTTGATACCACAGTCGGCCAGTGCAAATCCGTTTTTGCAGGTCGCAGTCGAAATTCTCTACTCTCAACTTTCTGAACGTCCCTCACAAACTGAATTTTTCACTACAAATCATTTGGTGAATTTGGATTAATCTCAAAAAATGAGGTTTTGTTGGCATCGAAAATACGACATTTTGTGGGGGGCATATTTTAGCAGGTGCTCATCATATTGTACATATTTAGAGGAGGTAACGGAAAACGGTAGACATAGTGAACAGCTATTATCGTCTAGGGACCATCGTGTAGTGTCATAAAATGAAATTGAGTGACACCGAAAATACGGCGTGTTGTGGGGCATGTTTTAGCAGGTGATAATCGTATTGTACAAGGAATTGTAGAGGAGGTAGTGGATAGATGCAAATCTCATCGTGTTTGGCACTTCTGATTGGCTAATTACAATGACCCTGAGAGGGGGGGACGACCCTTCATCAAGGTTTAGGTTTTTTAGATTAGTGTCAGAATGAAGAAAGAAAATTTATCCCATCGCCGTTCTGTTTAATGCGCACCGCTCAACACCAATCTCATTGTGGTTATACAAACTTTTGTCTATGAAAATTTTTAGCATTTTTATGAGCCAGCATGAAATCCATGGACAGGCGTCTACTGTCGAACTTTGGAAGGAATAAATTAGATTCCCTTAACGGTTGTTGAATCCTCTCTATTCTGTTTCTATAGTCAATTACCATGTAGATTAGTTCAAGAACAGAGACACAATGGTGCATCAAGTCGAAGGTCATTTTTGGAAGAACATACCCAGTGATTTCCTTAGCAACCATTGACTAAACAATGCTATACCGTCAGCTACGTAACTTTAAGGCACATGCAGCAAGACTTCAACACAATTTGGCCATTTCGAAACTCATAAAATTTTAAATGGCATGCAACAAACAAACGAGACAAGTAAGAGAACTTGAGGCTGACAAAAACTTAAAAAAATTGTATGAGAAGATCCAAGTCTATTCGGAAATAAGCCTAAATGTGACACATTATCAGAATTCTTTCAAATAGTGAATGTAAACTGCCAATGAAGTGATAAATAAGATAGGAAACAACGTGCGAATGAATTTTGACTTTCATGAGCCGAATTAGTAAACTCAGACGTCGGTCAATTAGCAGACTGCGAGCCTCTTGAGTTGAAAAACTCAACGGTATTTGAAGCCTGCACTTAATCATGAAAGTCGATGTTGTTATTTTAAGAGAAACTTCGACCAAACAGATTGGCTCCAATCGCGACCAATGATGAACTCCCAACCTAGAAGTTGCTCACTTATTGGTCAGCACTCAGGCCAGGAAGCCAATGGCAGAGCCACAGCTACGAATGGTCACAAACGCCGGGTGTTAACTTCCATTCTTAATACTTTCCGTGAGGTTGATAGCTAACTTACATCCAACTCGAAGAAGAATTATTAGGATGTTATGTTCTCTGGACGACTTAATTTGTCTTTTCCGCGATTTGACTATTTTAAAAGTGATTTGAGAGCTTCAAAATAATGGAGTTAGGCGGCGTGCCATGATTTGCATTTGAAGAAATTATTTGAGCGTAATCAAGTAGACTGTGGAGATTTGTGTTGTTTTCGCATCTATCGCCTTGGTAATCGACCCATAGTCAATTGTACTTTACGTTCTAAATCCCCATTGGTTATGTGGGGACATGCCTACGCATGCATGACCTTGTGTATACACAGACAAATCACACAACTGTGTTGAGCCAACTTGCGAAGAAATACCAGCACATTTGTGCTGTGCGCGACAAAAAAAGATGAAATAAACACAAAAAAACGTATTTAATTAAAGGTGGAATTTTTTGATGAAATCATTAATGTCTTGCACGGTCTGTTCACCTTCGTATTCATGTTCTTGGCCGTTAGTCAAGTACATCACTGTTGGATAACTGCTTATTCGGTAGCCCATCAGATTCTTAATGTGCGTGCTAGCGTCGATTTTGACTAGATGAAGTTGTGGGTGAATTCCGGGAAGAGTTTTCGCAGCCTCGTCGAAGATGGGAGCAAATTTCTTGGAGAAGGGGCACCATGGCGCGTAGAAGAGAATGAGCCACGTGTCGTTACTCACCTTCGAAAGAGGTTTCAGCTGTGCCAGGGAGGGTGGATCTAACTCTTTAACCGTCGAATCCTCTCCACGAGAGAATGACGCAGCCAGACATACGATTATGATGGAAGCAGTGGTGTACATGGTTGAGTTGGAAGATTTCCCGGGATATTACTTGTCCTTATATGGTGACGCTTGTCCAATGAGAAGTATTACTGCTGATGGCAGATCAGAAATAATCTGGAGTAGGCAGAAGCGAACCACAATTAGGCAAGAACTTCCCTTCTTCTCATTGGATGGGTTCAAATGTAGCGGTTTTTAATGCACCAATCGACTGTTGCCGCCAATCGTCGACGCGAAGTAACAATACATTGGTGTGATTTATATTGCACTAGTAAATAATCTGTTTTTTTTTAAGTGGATCTGCTTATCATTCACAGCTTTGCCCTAGGCGGGCTTGAAAAAAGGCGACTTCTCCTAATCTAACTTTTGGATGAACCTTTGCCCGCGTTTCGAATTTCTGGGATTTCAAAGGCCTCATTAAAAAAAACTAGCACAGATACAACAAGTGACTGCTTCGTTAGGCCATTCAGGGTTATATCGTTCTCATTGGTCGATTGTCTCTGTTCAGATTTATCCTTGCTCAGCTTAAAGGAAGTTAAATGAACCCGTTGTCGCGGTGCGTAGCAGAGTGGATTGTTTTTTCGAGTTAGCATTTAATTAGTTAAATTATAACTTGGCAGGCACATGGGAGGTGACAGTAGCAGAGATTTTTTTACCCCAACACCAAAAACAACGCATCTTGCTCGTGTTGTTCGTGCATGTGTGCGGTGAAGTAATCTTGAGAGAGGTCGTAGGAACTCAAATCCAATCATGAGTTGGTGGGGGGTGATATTTGAGTGACAAACGTGTCTATGACCTAGGGTCCACTAACGTCATTAGAACGCACCGAATTTTGATGTGTGGCAAGCATTACTGGGGGGTTAATGCAGTGGTCCCGTCTCTGATTCCCGAAATGAAGAAAACTAACAGGCAGTTTCTTCCACCACACCACGATGATCACGCATTTCATCCATAGACTTCAGTTTTGAAATCGTGTGCGCGGTCGTTAGCATGTAATGCACCAGAGAGTTGGTGTCAGAATCTTTTGCCTGCAAAGGTCACATCACAAACCCGTTTAAGCAAGGACCACGGTTGAATTAGTAGTGTAAAACCACCACGTGATCTTAAGCAAGGCCCAAAGGGTGTAAGTGGTTGTGAGCAACCAATGATTAAGTGAACGATGAAACTGTCTGACGCGTTAGTTGGGTTACAAATACTTGATCGACTAACGTTAGCCTACCAGTAAACTTTTTAATAGCGGGAGTGAATAACACCCATTTATTGCGTCATACAAATGCTATAGGAAATAGGCAATTTGGAAAAAAAAGTGTATCATTAAAGAAACAGTTTCACTTAAAGTGAAATAATCAGGACGTGGTGACTTGATCAAGCCATTAACCCAGCTTCATTGTCATCAGAAACGTGGACAGCAAAACACCGATGTCTGAAAATTCTTGAGAAATTACCTTCACCTCAAGAAAATTTGTCAGTTTTGTATAAAAATGGGAACACCTGAGAAGGGCTTATGATGAATGACATAACGCGCCAAATCTGAGTAAACATGTTGTGGTATGGTGGCGACTGTCAAATATTGACGTGGTGCTTGGTAAAGAGGTGGTATCTAGATATCGCAGACAGAATGTAGACAGAATGTGCAGTATTGAAGTTCAGAAAATTTGGTTTAACAAATGTTTGAGCATCTGTGCACCTTGCTGCCAAGCACAAGTAGCCCTGGTTACTGTTGACAAACTAAGGGACTCTGTCAATCTCCTTTAAATGATGTTTTGACAGCGTGGTCATTGTTTACCGCGTGTCTGGGCCCATGGTTCGTTAGAGCTTGTCCTGTATCACTTAACAAGGACAAACTCCTATTGAAATCAGTTCGTCCAAACACCAAACGCGCTTCGGAGTGTTTGGAATGTTCTGGAATCGTTCGACATACTTAGTTGACTTTACTACTTACAATACAACAACCGAGTCAGCAATGGTTTTAAATGGAGCAAAGGGAGTTTGTTTGGTTTAGTAGTCGTCCGACAATTTGCACAAGTCAGTCATACAGGTCATATGTTCTACAATCTCGTTACTTTTAAAGAACCGCGTTTTTAAACGACATTTCTTAGTCATATGTGATAGGTTCTTGCTGGATGACATGGCATGGAAGATTTGGGCCCATGGACTCCCAGAGATCGTTCCAAGAGGTGTGCAATGTGAAGGTGTCGTGGTGGGAGATGTGGTCGATCTGGATTTTATTGCAAAAAGTTGTCCCGAAATGGAGATTCGCAGAAGCAGTGGTTCAAAGCTGTTGGACACCTACAAAGTGCTTTGATAAGCGCACGGTTGGGGTGAGGTATGGGAGCAGCCAACCAACTAACGCTCAAATGATGGCCTTTTCCTTAGTATAGTGAAGCTGTCTCCCAGTTGGTTGGATCCCACACAAACCAGTTCGGCAAGCTTCGATGAGTTCGCCAACTTCGATGACAGTAGCCCTGTGGCCTTCCAGGACAACCGACGCGTGACGGCGATGGTGGTGGGTTTGCCGAACTGCGGCAAGAGCACCCTCATAAACGCGCTGCGTTGTTTTACGCCAACGTCAACTCGTCGGAAGTCGGCTGTCGGAGTGGGTCGGATGGCGGGCCTGACGAGGTGTGTCGGTGGGCCAGTGGTCATCGCGCATCAGCACCCAATCCCGTCGGCGGACGGCGTTACTCAGGAGTGTTGCACCGTGCGGATGATCGATACGCCGGGAATTCTGGAGCCGAAGGCACAAACTCTTTGTGGTCAACTGAGTCTGGGCGTTTGTGGGGCGGTGGATTGGGATGCTGTGGACAAAAGTAATTCCTTTTTGTCAATTTTCACTATGACATTAGAGGGTGTTAGGTAAGTTAGAAAAAGGAACGAATTCTGTAATGTTGCACGAGGCTCAGCGAGGTTGTACGGGTGGTTGATTTGTGGAGGAGCAGGATGCGACTGGAATGCGTGCAACGCTTACACGCAGGTCTTCCATTATCGTGGTTGATTGGTTGAATTACTGTTGGCTAGAGGGCATTTTCGATGCGGCATGTGTGGGTAGTAGATGGGAGCTAAATGGGCTACCGAAGCTGTGAAAGAGTTGTGGTGAGGCCAGCGTTGGAGGTCGCTATAAGGCATAAGATTAGTCATCATTTAGTTTGGAAACGCATCTACCAAATGGAACTAAGACGGTCTATTGAAGAATTATGAGAACCATGGCGTGCGCGTGATGGTGCGTGGATTCTCGGAATGCTCAAATGTTCAAACTAGATTTCGCGGTGTTGGTTCATATCTGGGAACGCAAAGTAAGGGCTGGTTCAAGCAAGCACTGAGAACAATGTTCAGCATTTTGGTGACATAATCTGGTTGGGTGCGATCTAAGAAGAAGCCTGGTCATTTCCGAAGACAAATGAGTTGATTCGGATATTTCTCAGCTAGGAGCATCTGAATGACTTCCAACGATTTCCCCTGCAAATTGAAAACTAAATTAAACGAGAAGACTGTGATGTGTAAGAAAAATGGCAACAGAGGACATCATTTAGACGAACACAGCTGTCGTGGATTAGAAAGAAATGAAGACCATTCTACTAGTCTTTTCGCTCAATTGGTTTATCTAAATCTTATCTTAATTCTCTGATTTTAGCTGTGACGAAACTAAATGTCTTGTGGATAAAGTTGTAAAACGAGAGTTATGTTTCAACGTAACAGCACCACCACATTAAGTCAGGTTGAATAATTCAAATTGAAAGAAAATTAAGTCTAAATGTTAGTCTAAAGTGTTCGATCAATACATTACTTAGACTATGAACTTTGGGATAAATTATTTGAAAGCAGTTGCCAAAGTGCAGTAGCAATTTACGTTATCTGAATATTCTCATTGTTTTGTCGAAGAACGTGGTCATTTGCATCGGTAAATAAAATGAGCTACACGTTATCTGCATTTCCATTCTTCGTTCCGTCGAACCGTGTCAGTGTAGATCATAGACACTGGTGTGGTTCCATAAACTGCACCATGGACAACAACAGACCCAACAGTCAAATCAATAAAAGGATGTAAATAAACAAGATTTTTTAACTCGAACGTGGGAACGCTAAATTCAAGCTGAAATTATAGGTGCGTTTTCAATAACTGAAGTCTGCTGCCATTTATTATAATTTCATAAGTACAATCCTCGCAAATTAATATTAAATAGTTTTAGAACTATCCACGATTACGTCTGCGCGCTAATTTGGTAGAATTATGTAGAAATTAAAATAATGCTCTTTAATCCGCATCGGGTAGTGACAAATAAGATGCGATGGCACAAAAGCATTTTGCCAAAGCGGTTTGTGACCCATTAATTTAAAGAAAATTCAATTTATGTTTAAAGTATTATTGTTGCATAAATGATCAAAAAAGATTTCCCGCGATGCAAGACACAATAAACGGTAAAATACTGTTCATCATCTTATTATTGAATATGATCTGTCTTCTGTGGCCCTTAAAAAAACAAGGGCTGTGTAAGCCAGGCAGGCAATTAGCGCACATATTAGGTTTACGATGCAAAAAGGCTATAAAATATGCTATTTGGGGAACAAACTAAAGGCCTAAATTTAAAGTTAGTCTATTGAGCACATATTTTTGAATCCAACAATGTACTTGCAAACTCATCGTCCTACCAACAGCCCAAATTTGGCCTTTTTTATAGTTTAAAAAGCGTTAAAATATAAAACTGCATTTATAGACTACATTTATATTACGTTTATAGACTAAATTTTCAGCTAACTTCAGAGAAAAGTCCTTTTTGTACCTTGTAGCTTGTATATTGCTATTACAAAGTTAACAAAAAAGCGATGATGTAGGTTAAATTTAAAAAAAAAATTAATTTGACTTTATCACTAACCTTTAGCCCTGCTAAATATTTTTACTTATCTTTGTTATTGATTCCTTCTGAAAATTATTACTGATGGTGTAATATTTTGCGGAACACCGATTGGTTTTTCGCGCAATGTCATTTGGCTGGAATAGCCTAATAGTTCAACATGATAAAACGTGCAGGAGTTGTAGCCGAATATGAGGCGAAACAGTATGACGAAAGCATTTGGGATTGCTTTAAGGTAAATTATGGCAACGATACATTAACGTTCTAGAAACGTGGTCGGTTTTTTATTGAAAGACGCGTAAATTGTGTAGCTGTTAACCACAAACCGCCTTACAAGTACGCTGTTCCAACAGGCCGATCCGTTAGTTATTGTTTTAAGTAATTTATGCCTGTTACTAGATTGTCATCTATAAAGCTTCTGCTGATACAAAGCACAGGAGGATTGCTGGCTTTTCCAATGTGGTTACATCTTGCCATTTTCGTCCTGATGGGAAAATGCTGGTCGGCGGTGAGGAGGGTGGTTATTTGCGCTTTTGTACCACAGATCGCAATAAGTACCATTTGCGCACATTCCAGGCCCACGAAGGGTACCTGTTGTGTTTTCTATTTATTGTTTAGTGATGTAATCTATGCTGATTTCCTCAGTGATGGATTGAAAGCTGTTAGTCTTGGTGCTGATGGTTTAGCCAAGGTTTGGGACGTTTCTGTGGGTGAACTCCATTCACAGTTCCGTATCAGCCAGAGTGGGGAACCTCCAAGTAAAATGGCAGTGGGTAAGGTTGACGGTAACATATTTTGTACCGGCGACTTCAAGGGCACAGTCGCCATCTACGATTTGAGGCAGGTAAGCCGTGGTTTTATTAATAATAACCGAAATCACAAGTAGTCAAAACCGACGTCCACATTCTCTTTGCGTGGTCCTGCGTCGGCATTACATCTTGCCTGCGATGACAAAGTCCTAGTGGCTGCAGCCGATCAGTATGTGTACAGTTGGGAGACACCAACAGGAAAGCCTTACCTCCAATCAAATCTCGACGTCACTGACACGACAGTGCATCCTGGTAGCTACATGCACTACAAACTTGTCATGGGTCTTACTGTTATTAAATGTCCTGATGTTCATCAGGATCCTCTCTTACTGTCCATTGGAATGGACAAACTCCTGCGCATAACCAGCCTCAATACCTTCCAAGAATTTCATCAAGAACGACTTGTCTCCGCTTGCACAGCCCTAGGTGCCTTTGTGAGTCCGCTGTCTTAATTCTTTTCCTACTTTTGAGGTCTGAGTATAACTCAACGATGTATTATTTTTCCAGCCCGACCTTTGTCACGTTGTCGTTGGTTGTGAGAACGGACTCGTGCGAACATTCGCCTTCACAACTCCGACACAAATTTTCCAGAAAGCGTCCCAAAAGACGAAGAAAACATTAGCTGTTGATGAACCCTTTGCAGTCGTGGATCCTAGTCTGAAGTCTCTTGTTTCTCGCTTTTCTGGTAAATGGCGCGGAATAAATCTAGACGAGGGGGACAAGAACCTCACGACAGACGAGTGGTTGAGTAGATCGGAGAAAAACCGTCCTCGTATCGCACCAAAAGACTGGGGTTTTGAAGGTCCGCGCGCTCCACTTATTCATGAAGTTAGTTTCTGCAAGTAATGTGTTTTGCAATGCAGTTTATCGTGTATGCAAGATCCTTATCTTTTTCTTCACCAGAGCACGACGATTTCGTGTGTTCCTCGGTCCAATAAGCCACGAGAAGCGGCTCCAGTGGCCCAGATCACCTCGAACCTGCTGCGGTTCCATCACTCCAAAGCTCTGAGCGACGCGTTGCACGTTCGCCAGAACCTCCGCAAGCGCCACAGCGACCTCGTAAATGTGCCCTCTTACACCTACCCAGTCGCTGTGGTGCGCGAATTGTGCCGACGAGGCACACTGACCGCCGCAGTGAGTGGGCAGACTAAGGAACAGTTGAATTACCTCCTCCGATTTCTCCGACAAAACGTCTGGCTCCCACCAGCCACGCCTACCTGTCTCCTAATCTTTAGGGTCATCAAAAGTATGTCATCTTCAATTTGTGGTGTCTGCTATCGCCTCCGTTCGTAGGATTTGGCGTCAGTCATCTTGGTTTTGTGTATAGTCAGAATGTTATGCCTTATCGATTATGCCGCTATAGTCACTTAAACCCATGGCTGAATTGGTAACACTTCAGTTAAAGGAGAACAGACGTAAAGTGGAAAACAGTGGTAGGCTGTATATGTTAATTCGATTGATTTCGACTGTTTTGGACCTTCTGGGGGTCATTCAGGACATCCATGAATTCTACAACCACGCACACATGCTTTCACACTTTATGTGATCAGCGTGAACCATCCACACACTATGCTGAACTCAGTCGATTACCGTGATTCTCGCACACTTGCGCAACACCATCTCAGAAGTAAACCTTTGTCTGTTATGATTTTTTTAGAAGTCTACAGTGACTCGCTGCTTGCAGAGAGTGAAGAATACGCGAAGCTATGCAAAGTGCTTAATTGCATGTGGCAGAACTCACAAACTGTGAACGCTCTCTCGGCTAAAATGAGAGCGATTCTTTACCCTGAGATTGCTGCGCTTGAAGAAGCTGTGGTCACCACGACGACGACGTCAGCGAAAGGCCAGGAGCCAGACACGGTAACTGAGAATGAAAACCAAGTTGACTCTGTTAAAGTGACGCCCTCCAAAAGATCGTCGAAACGGACTGTCAAGAATGACAAGTCGCGATCAATTTCTGACCACGAGTCGTCTGTGCTTGCAGACGTCGAAGCTGCGACAACCACGACAAAAAAGCTGCAGCTGGAAAAGGCAACTGAGAATGAAAATCAAGTTGACGCTGCCAACGTGACGCCCTCCAAGAGATCGTCGAAACGGACTGCCAAGAATGACAAGTCGCGATCAATTTCTGACCACGAGTCGTCTGTGCTTGCAGATGTCGAAGCTGCGACAACCACGACGAAAAAGCCGCAGCAGGAAAAGGCAACTGAGAATGAAAACCAAGTTGATTCTGCCAACGTGACGCCCTCCAAGAGATCGTCGAAACGGACTGCCAAGACGTCTGTGCCTACAGACGTCGAAACTGCGACAACCCAGACGAAAAAAACACAGCCAAAAACGGTAACCGAAAATGAAAACCAAGTGGAGAGTGCAGGCGCAGCGCCGCCCAAAAGGCCACCAAAACGAAGCTCCATCACGGACAAAACGGAAAAGTCGCCAGCCTTGAAAAAGCGTCGAAAATGAGGCTTTTTGTGTGCGCATGTAAATAAAATTATACTTCACCGCTATTGTTTACTGCAAGCAGTATCGATTCGCCAATACCTTGGATGGTGTGTTATGCAGTCGTCAGTTTTGGATCAGTGCTAAGATTATAAACCATGGAGGGTTGAATCAATCAAGAAAGTAACCAAACACTTCCATAATTTCTTGAAACACATTTAGCAACAACTGATGGTCTGTACGTTGAAGAGTCGTTTTGTCGATCTGGTGGTGACTCGTGTGGTGGAATGTATACCAAACCAACCGGAATGTTTAGGAGAGTATCTCTGTCGTGTAAACATCGAACACTTCAGCCTGTTGCAATTTAGGTGGTTCGATCATTCTGTTTTAGCCAATCAAAATGATTTCTCCATCTAGGTGACTCACCAATCGATTAAAACCTAGTTGAGCGATGCTGGGGGGCTTAAGGGCCTACGTTTGGGTTCTTAGTGCACGTTCGCTCTTGGATTTGACCTTGCGATATAAGCAGTGTGTTCATTGGCCCAGCTGGAAGTCAGTTCATTTAAACAAAAAGATGGTGCTATTGTAGTTTATCGGCTATAGGTTTGTCATCGTTTTACTAAATTCGATTTTTTTCAAAAACCGACTCGCTGTGTAGTGCAATGCAAAGGCATTAACAATTTCGGAAAAGCTAGAATGCCGTTGTAACAACAATCAAATGTTTATCGGAATTGGGGGGAAGACAAATGCAATGGTGCCATCGCAACTTGATTACTAGCTAACTGGAAATTTAATTAGTTCAAAAGTTTTGAATGTAATTTATTCACATTCAGGCTTTCGCTATTGGTCCATCGGCAGTGCGGCTACTTTAAACCACGGAATAGCTCACGCCGTCAGTCAGAAGTAGTTTTTGCTTCAGAGCATCGCGAACAGTGAATGAACACGTGAAAAAGATCCTATCTATCCGGTTTTCTCGAAATTGAATGAGTTTGACGCTTTTGGTTTTTATTCGTTGACCCTCTAGCTTCCGCCATTGGTGCAATGACAGTGCGGTCGATTTGAACAACGGAATCACTTATCAATACCACTTCAAGCTCAAGCCTCCAATTGATACGTAATTAGCAAACCATCACCCCAGGCGTAAATCAGAATATTATTGAAAATGATTTTTTTTATAAAAAAAAAGTACTTCAGTTAACCAATGCAACAAAAGCCGTAGATAAGGTAATTAAAGAAAAATGACAAAAAACGACCAAGTTAATAAATTCCACAGCCTCAAAGAATCACATTTCGCAAATTTGGGGCTGATTGGCCGGAAGTGGTTGAAGTTTGCCCTCATTGATTGATTTCTCCAGCCAATCCACTGTTAGCGGTGTCACGCCGTCAAGCTTAAACATGAAATAGTACGTAAGACAAACCACATGCTACTCGCAAGGTAAAGGTAGACGGCATATTTAAAATGACTAACAGAAGAGGCTGGGTTGGTGTTCGGCGGGACAACGATGGTGTGGGTGACAGGCTTGGTAGTTTCACGAAGGCCGTCACCAGTGACAACAGCCCCACAAGCAACCAGACGACGGTACAGCATTTGGAAGGACTCGTCACCAATCAGCGCCCCGGGCACATTTATCACAAATCCCTCAAGCAGCGGTCGGAGGTAATTGAATTGCGCGGATTCGCGGACTCGAAATAGGCGCGGTTTCTGTAACGAATCAGGCAAAGAACCGATTGACTTACAGCCTTATGAACGTTTTGATTGGTTCAGGTGTTGTAGTTAACAAGGCGGAAGCGGAACATCGGCAGTTGCCGTTAATTAGTGCAAAGTAGACATAACGGGTGTGTGGGGCACAATGTGACCAATCAGTGTACAGATAATTTATATTCACATTAAAAATGGCGCAATAATTACGTGCGCTAGCAGCCAATAAGGACAGAGAAGAAGCCCACACGAGCTCAGTTGAGAGGTTCTCATTGGATGCAGCATTCGGTGTGCAGACAACAACTTCACACACTAAAGTAACACTAAGAGCACTGGTTCTGTGGGTCACAAACGTCTTTGTATTTCTCGGTTCAGCACAGAAATGCGTTGAAAAAGACAGGTGGACAGGTATTGCATGAAACTGTTATGAATCGTGCCTATTCACACCCCTTAATCCGGTCGCTCCAGCCTCCGACACAGCATGTCGCCAGCCAAGCGAATCCTCCACTCCCCTCTCATTCACACGCATATTTATCTTGGAGTATTCTCACACCTAAGTGTCGATGTTAGCGCATGTATGACTCACACATCCTAGGCGTAAATACACACGCGCAAACCCCACACCCGACACCAGCGTGGTTGAGCTCTGAAGTAAGCGGTTGTGTCCACGTCCTCTTCGGCCTTTTTCTTCATCGCGGGTATCAGGGAAGCGTAATCGGGCCAGGGTTAATTTCGTGGCTCCGGCGTGGTTCAAGACCACAAAAAACGGTCCTAGAGCACTGACCATAGTTCCACGATCCAATTGAAATCGGTCGAACCAAACAACCAGCCGAATTGTCTGAATCCACCAATGGATCTCACCTTGGCACTTGCGAGCACCTCGTCCCGTTGCGCAGCGCGTTTATTGGCTGGCGAGGGATTCGAAAGAGCCTCCAGTTTTCTACTCCAGTCCGACTGGGACCGCGATGCCTTGAAGAGCGACTCGAGACGCGGAACATCGGTGGCCTCCTTCCAGGACTTGTCGGGCCGCTGTCTGGTGACACGTGGAAAGCGAATCGAGATGCCCTCGTGGTCAGTGGTCGTGCCCGCTGTATGGAATCCGGATCGCGAGAATTCGGCTCCTGTGATTTCCCACACCGGCGCCGCCTGGCGTAGAGACAATAAAAAAGAATCGTGCTCCTGTTGTTTAAGTATTTCTTTGGCTCATAGGGCGCGCGGTTCGAATTTGAACACCCACACACAGACCTCATTGTAACGACTATATTATCAATCTAGGTGTCTAAATATTATTACTGAAATCAAGATTTCACGAAGAAGTTTGATCAACAACGATATTTTAATCATCCAATCAAAGGATTTCAAAATGTCGAAGCAGCACCTGCTGATTGGCTAAAGTTTCCTGGCCAAGGTGACTTAATGACTCATCGTTTGAAGTTGGAAATTGAAAGGTGTTTAGGTAAGGTCAAAGACAAGGCACTTGGCGGAAAATTCTCGATCCGGGTCTTGAGGAATGCAGCGGATTTCAGAAAGCCTGGCGTCGAGGAATCCAGTGGTAGCACAGTAATTCCTTAGAGGTTTTAGAGGTCAAGAATAGACGCTAGCCAGAGCCTTTGACGACGAACACATCGGTGGCATTTCCATGAAAGTCTCCGAAATCGAGGACTGAGTTAGGCCTAGCCAACGGACAGCAGAGAACAAATGCAATGATTCGTGAATGAACGTGAATAGGTCGCTGCACAAATCTCTCTCCTTTTTGCAACCTGGACTCAACCAACGACTCTCTCTTTTAATTAACATGGCCACATCTCTCGACTTCTGACGCTCATCCAGCAGATATTTTAGTCTGTTCTCGACTGTCAACCAGATCAAAAGACGTCAACAATCTGACGATGCGGCATCATGCACGACTTCTCTAACAATCAACCTTTCAGATATCCAAATGGTAGAAAAGTTTGCATCGACAGCAACGATTCATCTCGAACGACTTTCGAAAACGAACAACGATGCCAAGTGTTTTAGTTACCTTCAGCGTATGAAAATCCGCCTCATTTCTACATTCACATGGGCCACACTTCGACTGCAGAAACCTACCGCCTACCACTCGGAATCCGCATTGAAAGGATAGCTGAATTATCTTGGTAAGAGAGAGAGAATTCTCAGTCCAGCCCACCTCGACAGCCACATCCCAATCACGCGAAACCTACGGCCTACCTTTCAGAAACTCCAGTGGACGAAAAGGTTTACCAAATTCTCTCGGTAAAGGGAATAGCTGTTGTGAATCGTGTTTATTCACACCCCTTAATCCGGTTGCTCCAGCCTCCGACACAGGGTTCTCCCTTTCGCAGCATGTCGCCAGCCGCGCAGACCCTCAACTCCCCCCTCATTTGCATGAATATTTATCTTGGATTAACCTCACACATGGGTCTCGATGTTAGCGCATGCATGACTCACACATCCGAGGCATAAATACACACGCGTTAGGCCACACACGCGACACAACGACACCAACGTGGTTGAGCTCTGAAGTAAACGGTTGTGTCCACGTCCTCTCGGGTCTTTTTCTTCATCGCG